AAAAAAATTAGCCAGGCATGGTGGCACATGCCTGTAGTCCCAGCTACTCAGGAGGCTGAGGCAGAAGGATTGCTTGAGCCCAGGAGTTTGAGGTTACTGTGAGATAGGCTGACGCCATGGCACTCTAGCCTAGGCAAGAGAGCGAGACACTGTCTCAAAAAAGAAAGAAAGAAAGAAAGACAGAAAGAAAGAAAGGAAGGAAGGAAGGAAGAAAGAAAGAATAGGAGAGAGGATGACAACACCAACAGCAAATGGATGAGAAGTAACTGATTTTGCAATCAGAGAATGCTGAAACCTAAGCCAGCAGTGGAGAAACTCAGAATCAAGTAATTCATATTCAGAACCCTGAAAGACTTAGAAATTTGAGGCACCATGTAACTCTGAAAGTGGGTGAATATGATGCTAAAAGCAAGATTAATGTTTCAAAGTCTGTATAGCAGAAGTTAATGCTCCTCATTTCCCACCGTTGAAGACCGAAGGTTTGTCCTCTAGAGAGGCTACACATGAGGGTCTTTTGACTGGGAGATAGAAGGCACGGCCGAGGACAGGGATACTGTACTGCATTCAAGAGAGTTATTTCAAAGTCTACAAACTGAACAAAGATATCCTAGTCCATTTCCCCCCTTGGCTCTGAGAACCTCAGTGGCCAGGCTTATACCCCCCAGGCAGGAGTTTGGGAGATTCCTCTCCAGAGAGGTTGACCAGCCTAAAAGAAAATAAATCTGTCTGAGAGGTGAGACCCCAACAGAATGTTACAGTCAGGTCATCCCACAGATGCATAAAACTTCCAGTCATATTTTTAGTAACCTCTGCCTAAATATGAGTAGACAGGCAGTTATACACAGATATTTGGACAAAGCCTATGAAAGAGAGACTAAAACAAAAATGAAAATGGAAGAAACAGACCCAAGTCATAAAGTTGGAAAGAACTTTAAAAAATGTTATTGAAATCCTTGGAAGAGATAAATGAAGATATTATATCCATGAAAGAAGAATGGGTGCTAGGAAAAAGGAACATTTAAGAACAAAAAGTGCTCTTAGAAAATTAAAATGTGAAGACTCTAAATAATAGGAGTCTCAGAACAAAGAAAATAGATGGGTAGAAATTATCAAGGAAAAAATTCAAAAAATTTTTTAAGAACTGAAGGACATGGTTTCTAGACTGAAAGAGCCCATACGTACCCAGCACAATGGTTTTGAATAGAATAACATCATGGCAAGTCACTGGGAAGTTTCAGAACATCAGGAACAAAGAAGTAATCCTATAAATTTCTAGAAGGAGAAAACAAAAAGGCTCCAGAATCAGAGTGGCACTGGAGGCCTACCCTTTAAAATATGTATTTAGGATTATGTTTATTGTGTTTTCATCCAACATCCTAGGTATTTATGCTGGGAGTAGTGATTGTTCAGATAATAAAGTTTATCATATTTCCTGAATAGCTAAAATG